AGAAATAGTAAAATAATAATAAAATAATAAATAAATATATATATATATATATATATATATATATCGATGAGAGAAAAAATGGATAAGCCATCACCTCTCAGACATTACCATCATCATTATCTCATTACCATTACCATAGACCCATAACCATTACCATGACCTTATAACCACTACCATAACCCCATAACCATTCCCATAACCCTACAACCCCCCCCATTACCATAACCCCATAACCATTACCATAATACCCCATAATTACCATAACCCCATAACCCATAACCCCATAAACCATTACCGTTACCATTTCCCATTACCATACCATAACCATAACCCCATAACCCTCATACCCATAACCATTACCCGACCCCATAACCACCACAACCCCATAAACCTACCATCGCGGTTTCTCCACAAGGCAAGCATACTTCATGTTCCCACACTATTCTCGATGAGGGACGGATATGAGGCTCCAGATAGCGCCCGCCCTCACTTTCTCCTCATCCAGATACGAGTTACGTTTCCCTCACAACGAGCGACATTTCCCTCTCGTGGCACGGGGAGCGGCGGCTCGAGGGGAAGCTTCTTTTTTTTTTTTATTTTTTTTTTGTTTTTGTTTGTTTTTTTTTTCCCTTATACTATCTAGTATTGATTGTGTACTTGTATCTAATAGTAATAATGATACTGCTGTACTATTATAATATAATACTAGTACTACTAGTAATACTACTGAAGATTGATGATGATGATGAGATGAGGTGATAATGATGATGATGATAAATGATGATGAATGATGATGATGATGATGATGATATGATATAATAATAAAAAAATAATAACGATAATGATAGCAACCACCAACAATGATAATAACAACAACAACAATAACAAAACGAATTACAATCATCACAATAACAACAAAGAACGTGAACGAAGCTTCCCCCAACGGCAAAAAGAACAAAAAACAACAAAGACAAACGAAAAAAATGAATAAATGAATAAACAGATTAATTTCTCTTCCTCCTGAAAACAGAAAACAGGCAAAATAGACCTTAATAGACCATCACACTTTCTTCCTAAATGGCATGACTGTCCTTTTTTCAGCAGAAGCAAAAAAGGTAATGGAAAAATGAGTCTAAGACGAAAACGACAAAAAATGGATAAACAAAAGACAAAACATAATAATGTAATAAACAAAATGTGACAAAATCAATCAAGTATCATACTCTCAAAATAAATAAAAAAATAAATAAATAAATAGATAAATAAAAAAAATAATATATAGAATAAAAAAAATAAAATCCTCCTCTCTGTCTACCTCTCCTACCCCTACCCTCCAACTCCCCTCCCCCTCCCCTCCTTGCTAACCACGCCTCCCCTCCCCTCCTCTAAGCCCCCACCCTCCCCCCCCCTTCCCTCTCCTAAGCCTCCCAACCCTCCCTTCCCCTCCCCTAAGTCCCCCAACCCTCCCTCCCTTCCCCTACCCCCAACCCTCCCCTCCCCTTCCCCTCCCCAAGCCTCCCCAACCCTCCCCTCCTCCCTTCCCCAACCCAACCCTCCCCTCCCCTCATTCCCTCGCCTCCTTTTCCCCAACTCCCCTCAAATCGCACCTAGTTTACGAGCCATTATCCATCAACTCTAAACATCCTGAGCCACGAAACCAGACCTTCTGGCGCGGCACGTAGACCCCAGGAGGAGGAGGAGGAGGAGGAGGAGGAGGAGGAGGAGGAGGAGAGAAGAAGAATAAGAGGAGGGGAAAGGGAGGGGGAGGCGGAGGAAGAGGATGGAGAAGAAGAGGAGGAGGAGGGGAAGGAAGAGGAGGGGAAAGGGAGGGGGGAGGCGGAGGAGGGGAAGGGAGAAGGAGGAGGAGGAGGAGGTGGGAGAGGAAGAAGAAGAAGAAAGAGACAGAGAGAGAAGAAGGGAGGGGAAAGGGAGGGGGAGGGAGGAGGATGGAGAAGAAGAGGAGGAGGAAGAAGGAGGAAAGGAGGAAGAGGAAGAAGGAGAAGAGGAGAAATGGAAAGGGAGGGGGACGAGGAGGAAGAGGAGAGGGAGGATGGAGAAGAAGAGGAGGAGGAAGAGAAGGAAAAGGAGGAATATGATAAGAAAGAAAAAGGGAAAAAGGAGAAGATAAAGACGAAGAAGAAGAAAAAAAAAGAAAACAGATTTATTCCTCCACGATGTATGCATACATGATTACCAATCAGGAGGACAGCCAAATACCACGGCATGATAATTATAGGGCAGCAAAAGGAAGACAAAGTGGCTCAGAAAAAGTAAACATACAAAAATTGATTACTGACTATGCACACACACGTGTAATTGTGTGTGTGTGTGTGTGTGTGTGTGTGTGTGTGTGTGTGTGTGTGTGTGTGTGTGTGTGTGTGTGTGTGTGTGTGTGTGTGTGTGTGTGTGCGCGCACGGTAGTTTTAAGAAGACAGCGACAGAGCAGTCCCAAAGATACTATGACATCTTAAAAAAAGAAAGAAAGAAAAAAAAAAAAAACAATATAACAAACAAAACGAAAAAAAAAAAAAAATCCACAACAAACCACACATAATCTTCCCCACAAACAACATCCAAACAAAAACAAACAAAAACGAAACGAACCAAAGAGGAAAAAACTCGGGAAAAGGAGCCAGAGCGGAGGCCGGGGTGAGAGCACACACGCCTCGCCCTGACAATGACTGACACTGACCCCTCAGGGCGAAGGGTGAGGCATCGCACACGTGAATGCCAACCCACAGGGAGGGAGGGAGGGAGGGAGAGAGGGAGTAAGAGGGAGGGAGGGAGGGGAGGGAGGGAGGGAGGGAGTAGAGAGAGAGAGGGAGAGAGAGAGAGAGAGAGAAGAGAGAGAGAGAGAGAGAGAGAGAGAAGAGAGAGAGAGAAGAGAGAGAGAGAGAGAGAGAGAGAGAGAGAGGGGGGGGGGGATAAGCGGGAGAGGATTAGGGAAAAGGAAAGAGGACGAAGAAAAGAGAACGAAAAAAATTAATAAAGAAAAGGGAAACTGCAGACCCCCCCCCTTCCAGCCCCCCCCAAAGGCAAGGTAAAGAAAACAACAAATAAGAGAGAAGACAGAGAGAAGAGAGACGAAGAGAGACGTGAGGAACCCCACCAACCCCCCACCTGGAGACAGACTGGGGAAGGTGACAGGGTACAGCGACGTCGCAACAGGCAGTAAGGAGGGTCGTTGGAGGTGGTGGTAGGGGAGGGGAGGAGGGGGGGGATAGGGTACTGAGAACCACTGGGGAGTAGGGGGTGGGGTACTGAGAACCACAGGGAGGTAGAAGGGGGTATTGAGAACCACAGGGAGGTAGGGGGTACTGAGAACCACACAGGGAAGTAGGGAAGGAGTGTACTGGGAAACACAGGGGAGTAGGGGAGGAGTGTACTGGGAACCACAGGGAGGTAGGGGGTACTGAGAACCACAGGGAAGTAGGGGAGGAGTGCACTGGGAACCACAGGGGAGTAGGGGGTGTACTGCGAACCACTGGGGAGCAGGGGGTGGGGTATTGAGAACCCCAGGAGGAAGGGGGTACTGAGACACCAGGAGAAGGGGAGTAGGGGGTACTGGAACCACAGGGAAGTAGGGGAGAAGTGTACTGGGAACCACAGGGGAGTAGGGGGTGTACTGAGAACCACTGGGGAGCAGGGGGTGGGGTACTGAGAACCACAGGAGTAGAAGGGGGTGGGAGACCCACAGGAGTAAGGGGTGTACCAAGAACCACATGGGAGTTGAGAGGTACTGAGAACCACAGGGAGGTAGTAAGGGGGTACTAAGAACCACAGGGAGGTGGGGGGAGGGGTACTGTGACCCACAGGGAGGTAGCAGCCAGAGGCGAAAGTGGGAGAGAGGGAGGGAGAGGGAGGTAAGGGTACGGTAAGCCACAGAGGGGGGGAGGTAGTAGGCAGAGACGAGGGCGAAAAGGGGGAAGGGGATGGGGGAGGGAGTGAGTGGCACTTGTGTACAATTGCTTAAGAAAAGGAAAAAAAATGAAGGTTGAACAGGACGGTGACATAACTGCGCCTCGTCACGTCGGGAAGGAGGTGGGTGGGCGGGAGACAGAGAAGGGGCGAGGGAAAGATAAAGGGAAAGGGAAAGAGAAAAAAGAAATAGAAGGAAGCAGAAGGGAGAGGGAGGGAGGGAGGGAGGGAGGGAGGGAGGGAGGGTGGGCGGGAGGCAGAGAAGGGGCGAGGGAAAGATAAAGGGGAAGGAAAAAAAAAAGGGAGAGAGGGCCGGAGAGAGGGAGGGAAGAGGGAGGGAGAGGGAGAGGAAGAGAGAGGAAAGAAAGGAAGGAGAGAGGGGGAGGGAGGGAGGGAGGGAGGGAAGGAGAGAGAGAGAGAGAGGAGAGAGAGAGAGAGAGAGAGAGAGAGAGAGAGAGAGAGAGAGAGAGAAGAGGAGAGAGAGAGAGAGAGAGAGGAGGGAGAGAGGAGAGAGAGAGAGAGAGAGAGAGAGAGAGAGAGAGAGAGAGAGAGAGAGAGAGAGAGAGAGAGAGAGAGAGAGAGAGAGAGAGAGAGAGAGAGAAGGAGGAGAGAGAGAGAAGAGAGAGAGAGAGAGGAGGAGAGAGAGAAGATAGAGATAGATAGAGAGAGAGAGAGACAGAGAGAGAGACAGAGAGAGAAGACAAGAGGAACAAAACACTAAATCAGTTGTCATGCACGAAGGATAGCGCCATTGTCCTGACCGCAACGAAAATGCTCGTCATGCGAAGGGCCTATTCTCCCTACCCCCCCCCCCCCCCCCCGCTGCTCCTAGGCCTATGCCAGCAGACTTGTAAACAAACTACGCGGTAAAAAAATATACATATATAGAAAAATAAAGCAATTAAAATAAATTAAATAAATACAATAAAATCAATATTCAAAACAACAATTGAATAATAAACAAAAAGGTAAGTAAACAAACCAACGAAACAAAGCGTATACTAAACAAAATAAACAAACAGCTAAAACAAACTAACAAACAACAAACAAACAACAACCCCCACAAATAAAAAATCACCAACCTTTACATAACTCCAAAACGAAGCCCCACTTACCTCCCCCCCCCCCTCCACCCCCCCCCCCTGAATCATGCACAAGTGCGTGCCACCGCATGCATACTAACGTGTCCTTATTTTGCATGGTTGTGTGGTGCTTCACAGACTTCCTCCTTGGCCGTTCTGCATTGCCTCCCATTGAAGGGAAGAAAGACGACAGAAGAACACACGACTATTGGCCTCTTCGCTTGTTCTCCTGTTCTTCCCTTCGCTGTTCTGTTGGCAATGTGTTGGCAATGTTGCTTCTCGCGCACGGCCGACGCCAAAGGGGTTCTAGACGGTTGCTAATTGTTTTTTTCGCTTCGTTTATCGTGCAATTTTATTATTATTACTTTAAGCTGATACCGGTGTGTATATATAGGCCTATATATTGGCAGTTGCTAATTTTTCGCTTCGTCAATTTTACAATTCTATTCTTACTTTAAGCTGACACCGGTGTATATATAGGCCTATATACTGGCAATTGCCAATTTTTCGCTTCTTAAATTTTGCACTTTTATTCTTATTACTGTAAGCTGATATTGGTGTGTTTATATAGGCCTACACGTGAGTATCCATTACGTCATTAATACCCAACCTTTCGTATTCTGTGGGCCCCTTCCCCCCGACCTCTATATAACGAACCCCATGGCCCCGTCCAGTGTCTCTCATCTTTTCCCCATTCAGTTATTACTATTCGTGAACAGTCTAATGGCGTTAAAACCTATAGCACAGAAAAAAATACGAAAAGATTTAAATTTATTGGTATGTGAGAGACAATAACATGAGGCTATAGGACAGAAAAATTATGAAAAGATTCAAATTTATTGATATGTGAGAGACAATGATATGAGGCTATGGCACGAAAATACGAAAAATTTAAATTGATATGTGACAATGTATCCTGTAGGTGAGATAAAATGCTGTTTAATTCCACGTCATTTTTTTTCATATTGCTCGGTGGTCCCCCAGAAAGTACCCCCTTGCCACCCCCCCCCCCTGGGAGAAAAGGACCCCAGGCTGGGAACCCCCGCATTACCCATGTGTATTGTATTTTTAAAGAAATGAAAGTAAAATAAAAGAAAGAAAAAAAAATCGTAAATCTGAGATGGTTTATCCCTCTTCAATTCCCCCATTCTCCTCCAAATAAACAACACAATAACATTCACAGCAACGACAATAACGAATGATTCTCAATCAGTCACAAAAATCTAAACAATCACCAACTTTTTTCTTTTTTTACATCCCGCGAGACGAAACTAAGTCCGGGTCCCCCTCCCTCTCTCCCAGTCCCCCACCCCACCCCCTACCTCGATGAACTCTCCCTCCCCCTCCCCTCCCTCCCCTCCACCCACCACGACGACTCCCTCCCCCTCCCTCCACACACCCCCTCTCTTCCCACTCCCCACCTCGATAAAACCCCCTCCCCCTCTCTCCTCCCTCCCCACTCCCCCACCTCGATAAAACCCCCCCCTCTCCCCCTCTCCCACCCCACCTCGATGAACCGGGCCACCTCCCTGACCACCAGTTAACCTTCGCTGCTCTCACTACCTGGCACTGGCGAGGGTGAGGGAATAGGGGCTCTGTGCTGTCCTATTCTACAATCAGAGCGGTGTATGGGCGTGGCATTTTTTGTTGTTTTTGTTTTTTGGGTGGGTGGGTAGGTGGGGGAGGGGGGACTGTCCTTCTCCTTGCTGTTTCTATGTTCTCGTCTCTTCTCACTCTCTCTCTCTCTATCAATTATCTTCTCACTCTATCAATCTCAACTGCAATTTCAATCTCTCTCTCTCTGTTTCACACACACACACACTTTCTATTACACTACCTTTCTCACTCTCACTCTCTCTCCCTCTCTCACTTGTTTACTTATTAATTTGCTTGCTTGCTTACTGACACACACACACACACACACACACTTTCTATTACAATACCTTCTCACTCTCACTCTCACTCTCTCTCCCTCTCTCACTGTTTACTTATAATTTGCTTGCTTGCTTACTGACACACACACACACACACACACACACCAATACGTGTCCAGCTTCATTCCGCGACGCCCATCCCCCCGATAAAACAGGGGCGCGGGCGGGTTTTCTCCTCGCCGCCCACGCCCAAACCAGTCAAGAGATTGGGCGCGGGTTGTTGCTTTCCAAACACACCTCCACACACAAACTTATAAGCATGGACCGGTTTCCCCCAGAAGTGAAGAAAGGGGAGAAGACGGAGATGGAGAAGAAGAGGGAGATGAAGACGAAGGAGAAGGTGAAGACGGAGGAGAAAAAGAAAAGAGAAAAAAAAAGATGAAGACGAAGGAGATGAAGACGGAGAAGAATAGAAGAGAGAAAAAAAGATGAAGTAGAAAAAAATAAGAAAATAGAAGACGAAGACGAAAGAGGAGGAAGAAGACAAGACAAGACAAGAAGAAAAAAAGAAAAGAAAAAAAAATACTCTCCTCACTTTTCCACGCCATCTCCCCCCTCCCCCCCACCCCCCCAACCACGCTCTTTCCCAAGCAACAACTTTCGCCCAATCTGCTGCTATCTGCTATGCCCACAACTCCAACGCCAGCAAACACGTGCTTTTGGAACCCACCGTAACACAAACACCAGACCCACAGGTATGCAAACACCAACCCGACTTTCACCTCGGAATGGAAAGCAAGATCATTAACCACCATTAAACACCTTCTTGCGACCTTCTGTGCTACAAGGGAATAAAACTATCATCCCCCCTTATTGGACTATTATCGACTATCATCGCCCCCATTTAATTATTATGAACTACCATTATCTTCATTTAATTATTACTATCAAGACCTTCATTTAACTATCATCAACCTCATTTAACTATTATGAACTACCATTATCTCATTTAATTATTACTAACTATCAAGATCTTCATTTATATCATCAACCTCATTTAACTATTATGACCTACCATTATCCTCATTTAACTATCACTATCACCACCTTCAATTACCTATCATTATATATATATAATTATAATTATAATAATAATAAATATATTATATATAATTATATATATAATTATATAATAATTAATAAAATATATATTAATTATAATATATATAATTAAATATAAATATATTATTATATATATAATATATATAATATATAATATATATATATTTATTATCATTATATATATATATATATTTCAATTACCTTTATTTAACTCTCCTTACCGGCCACCCATCCCTGCGACGAACGAACTCGGGGGGGGCAAAAAGAGGCTAAGACACAAAACATATGGTTAGTGGAACAGAGTATCGCCGTAATGACACATATCCGTTGCGGCGAGTCAATCCGGCATCAGCTGTTCACCCCGCACTGGTTACAAGCGGAGACACACAAGCGGCGGCGAGGGAAACGTGTTGTAAACATGTCCACAGAAATATAGAGAAATGTGTGTGGTGTGTGTGTGTGTGTGTGTGTGTGTGTGTGTGTGTGTGTGTGTGTGTGTGTGTGTGTGTGTGTGTGTGTGTGTGTGTGTGTGTGTGTGTGTGTGTGTGTGTGTGTGTGTGTGTGTGTGTGTGTGTGTGTGTGTGTGTGTAGATTGCAAAAAGAAGAAAAAAAAATGATAATTATCGATTTTCGGTGGGAAAATAATTACTCTTGAAAGCCATTCTAACATAAAGAAAGAGAAAAATATTGATTTTCGATTTAATAAAATACGCTTAAAAACATAAAAACGGATAAATATTGGGGGGGGGATAATATTCACAGAAAGACACACAACATACGAGGAAACATATTATAACTTGTCACTAAAAAAAAAAAAAAAAAAAAAAAAAAAAAAAAAAAAAAAAAAACATTGAAACATCCATCTATATAAAGACTTCATCGAAAGCTTATAGATATCAGAATATCGATTATAAGAAAAAATATATACTTTCAATGGCGGAGCCCTATCATGAAAACATCACCAAACATGCAAAAAACATTTTTTCTGCAAAATCTTACAAACATGAATGAATATATAGACAAATAATAAAACCGCATTGAAAAATATAACAACACATAATCCGAATTAAAATCACAAAAACAAATAATACAAAAACATATCCAACACAAACGGACATCCTTAAATAAATAATAATAATAATAATTATTATAATAACAACAACAATAATAATAATAATAATAATAATAATCATAATAATAATAATAACAATAATAATAATAATAATACAAACAATTAATAATAAAATAATAATAATAACAATAAACAATAACAATAATAATAATAAATAAATAATAATAAAAATAAAAAACGGCGAACCTTGACACAAGCGACGACCCCATGATATGCAATGGATAGTCACGTCATCCGAAATACATTCGCCGTCAAATAAGCCCCAACTGGCACAACGACTGGCAAGGTCCTCTTCCTAATCCCTTTTCCTGGAGGGACACGTGGGTCCTTGTCCCGGCCACGTGAAGTCCTTCGTTTCACATTCTCTCCCTCTTTCGCTCTCTTTCTCTCTCTATGTATTTATATGTTTATCTACCTATCTATCTATATCTCTGTATACATATATACATATATTTCTCTTTCTGTCTCTGTCTCTGTCTCTCTCTCTCTCTCTCTCTCTCTCTCTCTCTCTCTCTCTTCTCTCTCTCTCTCTCTCTCTCTCTCTCTCTCTCTCTCTCTCTTTATTTCTCGCTGTCTCTGACTCTGTCTATTTCTATCTATCTATCTATATGTCTATCTATCTACCTATCTATCTATATCTATCTATATCTATATATATCGAGAACTATCGATATCTATTCCTCTATATCTATCCATCTATCTATCTCCCTCCCTCTCTCCCTCCCATTCGCCCACTCGCCATCTCATTCATTCCCTCACACACACACACACACACTCTCTCTCTCTCGTCATGCCATATACGGCGGGAGGGCTTCACTCTCAGCCACAGCTCTGGAAACCCTTTTGGCGACTGAGGGCTTCGCGAGGGCCATGTAAGGCTAGGAAAGCAGTGAAAGGAGTTTGTCAGAAGAGGGAGACGAAGGAGAGACAGAAATAAGACACGTAATCCACTTCCTTATTTAAACAATGGAGGAAAACAAAAAAGATGGATCTTTGGACGTAATTTCGAGAGGGAGAGGGAGGGGGAGGGGGAAGAGAGGGGAGAGAGGGAGAGAGGGAGAGAGGAGAGAGAGGAGAGAGAGAGAGAGAGAGAGAAGAGAGAGAGAGAGAGAGAGAGAGAGAGAGAGAGAGAGAGAGAGCGGAGAGAGAGAGGAGAGAGAGAGAGAGAGAGAGAGAGAGAGAGAGAGAGAGAGAGAGAGAGAGAGAGAGAGAGAGAGAGAGAGAGAGAGAAGAGAGAGAGCCAGAGAGACAGATCGGGAGGAAAACAAGATAAACATCAAATTCACTTCCTCATTTATAAAAAAAAAACAAAAGTCAAAACAAGAGCTGTCTCTTTACATCCACATGAAGTAAAGTAAGGAAGTAAAAGACAAACACATTTCAAGATTGAGATTACACAGACGATTCTCAAAACAAAACAAAACAAAAAAAAGGGAAATTCTCATAATGATCCTTGGGAGTTGAAAAAATAAACATGTTATACACCTGTTTATCCAATACACAGCGACACCTTCCCTAAGCCTCATCACAGTCACCACCTACACCAAAAACGTGAAACTTCCTCCCAACAAAAGATTACAAAACTACCTAACAAGAAGCGATAAACAAACTCCGTGACAGAGAGAAGACGTAAAAGTAATTAACAGAGTCTTCGAAGCACGTTCTTGTGAAAGAAAAAAAAAAAAAAAAGAAAGAAAAAGATCGATGCCATGAAAGGAATACACATGACCCTAATTCTCCACAGATAATTTTTTCTTTATAAGGAATGAATAGGAACTGATACACGAGGTTGAAAAGGAGGGAGAGGGGGGAGAGAGGGAGGGAGGGAGGTATCCATCCCTCCTTCATCCTAATCCCCAATCTCCCCCCCCTCCTCTCCCCCTCCTCATTCTTTAATCTCTCCTCCTCTTCTCCCTCTCCCTCTCCCTCTCTCCCCTTGTGAAATACTCGACGGCCGTGACGCTCTCCCAGTACATGTTAACTCTTACTGATAACGATAAACTTTTTTCCCCCCCCTGTGGTCAGCTGTGATTCTTTTTCATTTTTTCTTGCTTTTTTTTAGTAAGATTCATACATAACAGTATTTGTGGTCAGCTGTGATTTTTTTTTTTTACAATTTCTTTTTTTTCTGTTTGTTTTTCTTTTTTTTTTTTGTAAGATTCATCCATAACAGTAACTAAAAGCGGAGTTGAACTTAGTCGCTTCCCATTCCTGGTTCGTTGAAAGGGAGGTGGACAATGAACTTTTGATTCGAATGACCAATGCTCTTGAAAAATGGTTTGTTAACATTCTACGTGAACTTTCCGATTAGGGCAAAGATAGGTCACAGGTCAGATACACACGCACGCGCGCACTGGGCACATACACTAAGAATAGAATATATGCACACGTAAATGAGATAAAACATACACACAAAACAGAAAGATGAACAAAATAGTCAACACTCACACACACACACACACACACACACACACACACACACACACACACACACACACACACCTCTTAGCCTTGATTTTCACGCTTGTCTGTCACCTAAACTGCTTGTCATTCAATTTTCCTTTCTCTCGTAATGTTCTGGCGGCTGTCATTAAACATGCTAATCTCAGACCGTCGGCTTGCGTGTGCTATTCCAACGCATTTTCTGTTTAAAAAAGATAATTCATTCATTGCTCTTCAGACTGCAGACAGTTATCTTCTGACTAAGAAAGGGGGAAGAGGAAATCAGGGGAAATAATATGAAGGAGGCAGAGGAGTAGAGGAAAGAGATTCAGGGAGGGAGGGAGGAGGAGAGAGAGGAGGGAGAGAGGAAGAGAGAGGGAGAGAGGAGAGAGAGAGAGAGAGAGAGGAGAGAGAGAGAGAGAGAGAGAGAGAGAGAGAGAGAGAGAGAGAGAGAGAAGAGAGAAGAGAGACGAGAAGAGAGAGAGAGAGGAGAGAGAAAGAGAGAGATGGAAGAACGACAGAGAAAGAAAAGAAAAGAGAACGCAAGCAAGGAAAAAAAGACAAACAGAAGGAGAGGAAGTCAAAGAGAGATATAAACAAATTCTCTTCAAGGAACACAACACCATAACAGTTGGCACAAACAATCCCGATGCAAAAGGTGTTTCTCCGTATCCCAGTGCACCCACACTCGCTCAGCCACAAACAAACCAACCTTGCTATCTCCCAAAACCCAAATCTATAAACACAGATTTTTTATGACAATAACAATAAAAAAAACGTATGGACTACACAACAGCTGGCAGCAATAACAACAACGGCAATATTTCTTTGGAGAAGTCTTCGCTGCATTACATATTAAAAAGAAAAGAGATGTCAAAGTCCTCGCTACATCACAAATAAAAATAAACGATATGACAACTAATGCAAAAACACCTGTCAACCCTAAAATACAATAAATCACAACCAACTTTTAATTAAAATAAAACAAAATCGACCTGCCACCCTTACCAACCAAAGCCCTCCTGCCAACGTACCCAAGACCCATTTCCAACACCACGTGACAACAACGATACCCCGGAGGTAATTTCAACGCTTCTCGCCTTCGTATCAAAAATAAAACCTTTTTTTTTTTAATTCTTTAAGATATTTCTCTCTCTTCCTTCGTATCCCACGCAAAGGTAAGAAAACCGACGATGAGTAACAGGTGAGTCAGGTCCTCCTAGGTGAGTCACTTCTTCCCAGAAAGAAAATTAAAAAATGATGGAAAGAGGAAGTGAAACGAATAAAAAAAAATATTACGTGTTTTTAAAAAAGACTTCTACATAACGCTTCGTATTTTTTGGCTTCCTCTGTCTATTTCTGCTTTAAAATGGCCGAGAGAGAAGGAATTAGGACTTTATTTTCCTTTAGGCCTAAATGCTGGAGGCTATCACAGACACCCCCTTAATAACAGGTGGTTTTCGGGATGAACTAAATAACTTTGCTCCGAAAATAATCGATAAATAACATTCATTTCTTACCTGTCTCTTTCGCATCGTCCTGTACGAATGTTTCACGGTGATTTGTTTCATGATGAACACATTAAACACTGAAAATGTTGTATGTTTTTATCTTTTTTAATAAACTGTTATCTTGTGTATCACAGCGAGAGGGAATTTTCAAAGACCCTTCTCTTTATTAGAGTGTGTCTAAGTTACACTCTCTTCAGTATGTGTAAATCCATCACGGAAAACAAAACTTTGAGAGAACCGAGCTTCCCCCACACGGACGAATACTTCCTCCCTTCACCAAGTCCCCGAGTAACTGATTACTTTCTGAAGTTCGCTTCGAGTACCCACGCTACCACGCCATGTTTTCTCCGGTACGACAGTTTCGCTGCTCTAATTTCTTTGGCTTCTTGTCTGACGATGAACTTTCGGTGTGATTTTAATAATTTGTGCGTGTTTTCGATTATGTGATTATATGAAAGATTAACGATAGCAGCTGTATATGCGGGAGATGAGAAATAACAGAATGGAAAAGAAGAAAACATTGAGTCGTACGCCCGCCAGCTCCCCGCGATTCAAACTGAAAGCTGACCCCCGGGACCGTAAGGATCTTTTCCCCTCCGTCCCTTCCGTAAATCTGACCCTTACGGCTTCCCTCTTTCGGAAACAAGTGTACGGGTCTCGCGAGTCTGATGACATTTAAATTTCTCGAAGATTAAAACTAATTTTCACATGAAATTGTGTTTACCAGAGAAGTTTAAACTACGCCTTGCAACGCTCACTGGTTGCAAGGTCATGACAGATGAAAAGAACGTTAGCGAACAGTTCTCTCCATCGCGACGTGAATGCTAATCAGAAAATTGAACAAAACACATCAAAATCAGATACAAAACATTATAAAAAAATCCACATCACAATAAAATAAACCAATATCTATTATAGATCTCTTAACGGACACAGTACAGAGAGGGATAACAAGTAAATTACAGCTGTTTCACGTGATCATCCATTTCCCATGTGGGTGGCGACCTTGGGTGATGAATCCAGTTTGAATCTGCTGTCCAGTCCGATGTATTAATGTCCAGAGGAAATGAATAAACATTTGCTCGATTTTTAGTATTCATGTCGCCGATAATCTGATCTGCACGCTGTCATCCTCTATCGGCCTATATTCATTCTCTCTCTCTCTCTCTCTCTCTCTCTCTCTCTCTCTCTCTCTCTCTCTCTCTCTCTCTCTCTCTCTCTCTCTCTCTCTCTTCTCTCTCTCTCTCTCTTCTCTCTCTGTCTCTCTCTTCTCTCTCTCTCTCTCTCTCTCTCTCTCTCTCTCTCCTCTCTCTCTCTCTCTCTCTCTCTCTCTCTCTCTCTCTCACATAACACAAATACACACACGCACACACACACACACACACACACACACACACACACACACAACATATACAATATATACATACATATATATATATATATATATATATATATATATATATATTATATATATATATATATATATATACATTGTAATAACATATAGTATATGCTGCTGTAAGCAGGGGCTTGATTGTAATATGTATATGTTATTATGTATATATATATATATATATATATATTATATATATATATATATATATATATATGTGTGTGTTGTGTGTGTGTGTGTGTGTGTGTGTGTGTGCGTGCTATGTGTGTGTGTGTGTGCGTGTGTGTGTGTGTGCGTGTGTGTGTATGTGTGTGTGTGTTTGTGTGTGTGTTTGTGTGTTGTGTGTGTGTGTGTGTGTGTGTGTGTGTGTGTGTGTGTGTGTGTGTGTGTGTGTTGTGTGTGTGCCGCGTGTGCGTATGTGTGTGTGCGTGTGTGTGTGTGCTGTGTGTGTAGTGGGTGTGTGTGTGTGTGTGTGTGTGTGTGTGTGTGTGTGTGGTGTGTGTGGTGTGTGTGTGTGTGTTGTGTG